GCTCCTCTCTCCTCTGCCCACACCACCCAGATCTGTCTTCTCAAGAGTCTGGGCTTTCGCAGGAGTGGAGCTCAGTGGAGGACGAAGACGAGTCGGAGGACTCCCAGGTACATGGCGGGCTTCTCCTCTTCCACAGCCGTCCTACCGCGGAGGTCGGGCATTGGCGTACTTCCTTCCTCAGCCTGGAGTTTCTCTGCCCTGTCTAAGTTCCCAGAAGTGTCTTGTGGGGAGCAGGAATGCCCCTGGGGTGGCCACACACAGCAGGCTCCATGTGGTGTGTGTGTAACCACATCCTTCACTTGTAAATCCATTCCCCCACCCACCTCTCCACCCATGCATCTGTCCATCTGTCCATCCACCCATGCTTCTATCCATCTGTTCATCCATCCACCAACTTTCCCCTGATTCGCCTATCACAAACAATTCATCCATCCATCCATCCACCCATCCACCCATCCACCCATCCACCTCCTCACCCATCCATCCATGTATCCATCTGTCACTAGTCATCTAGTAGGTCTAATCCAAATACTATAAATAAACAAAACAGAGTTATCTATCCTATATTTCACTCAAACACATAACACCTCCTTTTTCTGAGGGGTGAGGCACTAGTATAAGGAACAATAAGAGTGGTTGTTGTGCTTAGCCATTTATCTGACATATCAGAAAAATCACATAGCTGCTGTCAGCAGCACACCAAGGCGCCACCCCTCTCTTAATCCCATGCTCCATGCTCAATTTGGTCGGCTCAGCCCAGAAAAGGAGCTTCCTGCCCTGCAGACAGGGAGCGAAGGGGGCAAGCAGGATGGTAGACCACCAAAGAGCAGCAAGCAGTGCTGGCCTGTGCGCGGGGCTCGAGGAGCGAGCTCTGCATGCTGCGGACTTATTCCTGAGTACCCGAGAGAAGAGGAGCCCCCAGTCCTGGGTTTTAGGGAGCCGCATGTTTCCCTGCCCCCAGGTTGAGGGTAAAGGGTGTCCCCAGGTGAGGCACATCTGGGGGAGCCTGGAGGGCAAGGCGTGCAGGGAGAC